TGGAAAAACCTGCCAGCCTTCAGCAGAGCCCCTGTGCCCCGGCGCAGAGAAGGGCACTGCGGGGCCGAGCTTGTCATGGCACAAGGGGACACCAGGCGTCCGCCTCTTGTTGCTTCGGCCCCTGGCTTGTGCCGGGATGGTGGTGGCGAGTGAAGAGAAAGGGGTTGGTTTCAGCATCCTCTGGGCTGCTCTTGTAGTTGCTGCAGCGCAAGGCCTCACGCCATGCTGAGGGGTGACCCCACTGCGAAGGGCTCCCGGTTAGTGCCCGCTGTCATCCAGAGGCTGCTTCTCCCTAGGAGGCAATGCAGCACCCACAGCAAAGCCCGCTGGCCGCCTGCAGTCAGAAAGCAATTAGCAGAAAGCTTCTAGCTCTGATAGTAGTGACTCACTGGGACAGTCTGTCTAGGGGAGCTCTGGAGCGGTTATTTTTAGCCCCATGTCTGTGGTGCCGAGTGCCATAGACCAGACGAGGCCAGCTGATTTCTCCAGCGCCTTTCACCAAGGGTCTGACAGATCACAAGACTGGCCTGGCCTTTTTAACAGTCTGTTTCTGAAATGGCACCAGAAGGTCCTGCGATACGCCTTTGTGATCAAAGGGGTATGACATTTATTTTTTCATTTCTGCTTTTTTAAATTTTTGATCCAGTAATTTACAGGCTCAAGCTCCTGGCTATTTCAGTTACAGTTGGCTCGTGGTTTGCTTCTCGCGACAGGATGCGCACAGCCCTGCAAGCCATGCTATCTGGGCTCAGGAGCCATCCTTCCCATTAGGAAGGACTAAGTAGATTTGGTGAGCCAGTTGGGCCTGCTGCCACGAGGAGGTCACGTTCCTGCTCACCCTTGTCCCGGAGCCGCCATCCCCCATCCCCATTCTCCCCACATGCTCAAGGATGTGGGCAACTCAAATGCAGGTTCTAATCTGTAAAACAAGCGATGATTTTACATGTTTCTTTAATATTTTTTTTTTCCTCCACATGCAGCTTTTCCCAGCGCCACTCCAGACTCTTTCTAAGAAGATTGTACAGTCCAGGACCAATAGTACCTTAGTTGGAGTTTTTGCCATTATCCTAGTTTTTCTATCTGCCTTCGTCAACATGGTACGTACATTATTTCCTTTTTGACCCACTCAGCTCTGCACGTTTTTCTCACTGATGCTGTGCAGCATCGTGAGCCTTACAACCACTGGGTTTAACATAATCCTGCCTAATGCTTACAGCATCTGAGGTGAGTTCCATTTTGGTTTTGGGGCACAGAAAAGAAATGGGAGCCCAACAGCTGCATCTGTATAACACATTATATGCCTGGGCCGATTTGTGCCCATGATCTTTTCTGATTCGTTAAATACTCCAAGTACCTAAGCCAAGCCTGAAGCGTACCCTTGTGTGAAAGGCCAGCGTGAGACCGATGCATCATTTAACTCGCACAACACTGAGTGGGACTTAAGTATAGCACAGGCTTTGTGCCGGCCTTCTGCACAGAGCCTACTGCTCCGAGTGCAGGAACCACCAAACAGGGTTGTCAGGGCTTTGCCTTTGGGACTGGGGCGGTCTAGCTTCAGATTCAAACACCGCTGCTGATTTCAGACTTGGTAAGGGACAGGCTGTTCTCTAGGATCCTGTGGCTGCTGGTTTCTCACTTGTACAAATGGCTTGAAGGCTGAATGTATTTTAAAGAAACCACTTGAATATACACACTCTACCCTGCGTACATCTGTTTCATTTTTTAAGAGCTGGGGGAAGATGGTCCTGGTGTTGAAGCCCTGAGTTTGGAGGTAGCTGCAGAGATTTCACATGGCCCTCTGCTTCTCTAGTCATGGCCTCGCTGAGGTAGTGCTGACTTGGCATGGAGAGGCTTCAACACCTAAAACTCGGACCACTGCTTGCTCTTGCCTCAGCTTCCTTCTACACATAGTGGAGATTTAGTAAGAATTTTATGCTCTGTCGAAGTACTTGAATGGGAGGCACTAGCTCAGTGACGTCAACACGCCACACGCCCACAGTCACCTGGGAAGAGCTGGTGTGGGTTGCTGAGCACCACAGAGCTTTGTTTTTTCTACATAATGTGTGATTTTTTGCATTCGTGAACTGCTTAGTGTAAAAATCAGCAAAGGACAAATGGAGCAGCACGTGGAGGAGATCAGAATGGGCCTCTGCTGCCTCCTCAGCATAACATAGCATGTCAGCCCTTGAGCCTTGCTGCTAAAGTGCTCTCTGAAGAAGGACCCATAGCAGAAGCTTCAGAGATGGCAGGGGAAGGTTATCAGCACAGGAATTCCCGTCAACAGAAATAGAGCAATACCAGGGCCTTATCACGGAGAGTGGGATATATTTGTACATGTAATATACAGCCCCTCTGCCTGTCAACCCTCAGACATAAAGCTGTACGTGAAGTTGAGCATGAAACTAGTGTCCTAAAGCGCACAGCCTGGGTTTCTTAATTAATACTTTGGAGGAGAAAAAACAGCCACCGCACATGCAGCAGGACATAAGCCGGTGATTTAATTTTGCACATTGCTACAGCCATTTCCAAGGGGCTTTTTAATTTGATATGAACGATTTTGTTTTCTTCTCCTTGTCTATGCCATCGTGTTTAATACCATCTTTTTTCTTCAGTTCATGTGCAGCACTGTGGATCTTGCCAGCTGCATGGCTGCAGAATACAACATCACCTCTGACCAGGTGGACATATGCCTTATCAGCAACCTGACTTCCAGCTACAGCCTGGGCACCTTGCAGGGATTCTGTGACAGTCCTTTGCCCAACTGCAACTTTCCAGAGGTATCGCTTGAAAAAAATGGGTTGCAGATCTTGATCTGAGAAGGGGCTATAAAACCTGTGTGATGAATCTCAGTGATTCAGAGGAAAGCAAGGTTGCTCCTGACTGACGTTATAGGACTGACACGGGCTTCTACGCACAAACTTGTGCCTGGAGTTATTAGCATGAGTCCACATTAATGTTTAAGTTCCCTCAGGGCTGAATAATCAGTAGGCTTTTGTAATTGTTGGATCCTGCCTGTAGCAGGAGAAATGGCCTTTCTCCATGAAGTCCTTAATAGCCTGCAGAATTTCAAGCCATTTCAAAGGAGTTTGTGGGTGCTCAGTGTTACTTGAAAATCAGTTCACTGAAAATCAGTGTCTAGTCATAGATTTAACCCTTCTCTCCAGTGTTTCATGTCCTGATGAGAAGCTTTGCATGTTTATTCTTTCACTAGGTACACTAGGTTCTGGCCTCAGGCAGGCTAGCAGCCCTGATAAGTGGTCTGCTTCAATTTGCAAATGCAAATCCTTCCTCTTCAGAACAACTTGTTTTACACACTGGTAGAATATTTTGCCAAAAAAAATCAGCTTTTTGCATAGCTATTCAAGACGTTTCTCTGAGTTTTTAGGTCACGGCCATTACATGTGTGGTCTACTGGAAATTGAAAAGGAAAAAAATCTGTCTAGGGTGGGGGCGGAATTTATGTCAAGGTCATCTGGGCTTAGGAGGACCTGATAGTTTTATGGTTGATTGGTTATCATCCAGATGTCCAAGGTGCTACTGAAAGCCCTGGCATCCCACTGAACCTATTTCCATTTACCCTAACAGGAATATGGTCCCTGTCTGATTCAGTGAGGTTTCTGAGACCACCATTACTGTGACTTTCCACCTGCAAAGTCTCTTAGTGCGTCTGCAGAAAGACCCAGGAGCAAAATCTGGCACAGTAGAGAAATAGAAAGAGTCTGTGCCCACCGTGAGCTTGTCAGGACAGAGAGGAGGTGTAAGGCATGAGGAACAACCATGTGGCATGCTGAGGATGCTATGGCAGCCTTGAGCCAGGTCCTGCCGGTCAGTGGGCTAAGAGAGGAGTCACTGCCCTGCACTCTTCAGGCAGATGTTGGATCCGGCGCAGCCCGTTGTATGTTGCTCCCAGTGTGCTTTCAGGAGATGGTGGGATCCTACCCCTCAGCCACAGGCAACATCCACCCATCTTCTAGAAAGGGAAGAGTCAAATTACAAGCTGTACAAGTTATTTTCTCTAATTTAATACATCGGTGCTGAACTATTAATAAATGAGCTCAGAACATAAGCATATTTCAACTTCAACTAGGGCTTGCCTTCAGCTGAAAGGATGGATTGCCTCAGGCATCTGATACAGTGTTTTCGCCAGAAATGGGCCTGTTTGGACACAGTGGAAACTTAAGTCTTTGGGATTTGCTAGCAGGATGGTGATGAGCTGCATAACATGCCTCTCTTCATTTTACACCCATGCTAGCTTTTCCAGGAGCCCTGAATGGCACCCGCAGCCTGCAGTTGCAGTGGAAAGCACTGGCTGAACATTCAGCTGGTAGATGGGCAGAAGTCGTGGCCCCACCACCCGGGTGTGGCAGAGGGCTCCACTGCCACACATGCGCACACTTCTGCAACTCCTGGCAGGAAAAACGGTCATGGCGTTGGGCATTGGTGGAAGCTTGTCCAGCCTGTGTCTTCCTGACAGTTTCGGTGTGTCACGTCAGCCAGGGCAACGCTTTCCATTGCCCTCAAGTGGGTATCTGTGCGGGTGGTGTGCGCTGCTAACACCCTCGGGCATGTGTATTGTGCAGATATGCAGATTCAAGTCCAGAGTTGGACCTAAAAGCACAAAGTATTCCAGCATAACTGGATGATGCTTCCTGCTAAATCAGTAACCGTGTCCAGGGCAAACCTGCATCACAACCCTGGGCATGCAGCTGCGAGCCCTGTGCCTCTTGAGTGTAAAGCAATAATGCCTGATGAAGAACACAGGGGTTTTTCTCTCCATGGGTTCAGTTTTAACACTTTAATCTCCTGTAGTGTGGGAGAATCTCACAGGCAGCCCCAGCTTTACATGTTCAGTCAGCTCAACTACCTAACTCCCAATCCCTTGCTATCCCTCTGTTTAGTTTCCTTTGGTCTGTTTTGATTTATCCAGCTGACGTTCATCTCTCTTTTTTTTTTTTCCCCTTTTTGTCTTTATACAGTACTTTACCTACAGTGTCTTACTGAGTCTCCTGGCCTGCTCTGTGTTCCTTCAGATCAGCTGTATTGGAAAACTGATCCTTATGTTAATCATTGAATTTATATATGTTCTCATTGTGGAAGTGCCAGGCGTCAACCTTTTTGACAATGCAGATCTCCTGGTTACAGCTAACACCTAGTAAGTGCCTTTCACTTCTGAAATCTTCACCTAATTTCTTTCACCCAAAGATTTCACTGTGGCATTAGGTGGACGGGAGCGTACCGATGCTGTGGTGCAAGCAAGGGAGGTGTATGATTGCAGAGAAGGCAGGGCTGTGTACTGAAGGCTTTGTCAATGTTGCTCTCCACCTCTGAAGAGTAGGAGAACACAGTTCCCTTTAAGATCTTTTAATGTGGAACTTGACTAATGAACTATCTATTAATAACGAAATATAACTGGAATCACACTGGATCTGTATTTCTTTTTCTTCCAGAAATGGGGAGCTGTAGTTAGTCATTCTCGCTGCTTCTGATATTACACTCCCAATATAGAAATGTCTTTTCTCGCAAAAGAAAAAAAGAACCAACCTCCCACAGACTTGGGCTGGCTCAGGGTTGTGATAAAGAACCACCGAGGTGTTTGGACATCTGGTGTATCGAACCCAGGTTGGGGTGGTGGAACGGTGGTGTCTGACGCTTGGCTCAGACACGTCTTGGCTCTTGGACACATGTCATAGAAGGAGTTGGGTTGGAAGGGACCTTAAAGACCATCCAGTTCCAACCCCCCTGCCATGGGCAGGGACACCTTCCACTAGACCAGGTTGCTCAAAGCCTCATCCAGCCTGGCCTTGAACACTTCCAGGGATGGGCCAGCCACAGCTTCTCTGGGCAACCTGTTCCAGTGCCTCACCACCCTCTCCTCTTCAGATGTTGCATTTGAAAAGCCAGTATCACAGCTGGGCTCAGCACAGTCCCCAGCAGAAGGGCCTGGGCAAAGTGGGAGTAGACAGTTGCCTTTTTACTTCAAAGGGTAGTTTGTCATCACCAGGTCAGACATTAATCGTGGTGGCAGCCTCCTTCCACTGACATTGTTGCCCTTCTCCTGAAGGTTGCACCAGGGGGGAAACTTTGGCACATCCACAGGTTTCACTTCTCACTGTGAGTTGCACTGTTGTGTTAACCACTTGTTTTGATGATTTCCCCTTGTAGGCAGCAATTGTACTTGAATGTAAGTCAGTAAAATCGTGGTGTTTAAAGATGAACACTGTGCTAGGATAAGGAGGAGAAGTAGACCACTGCTTTACCCAGGAGTGGGATGGCCTAGCCGGGAATATGTTTTCCAGGATAATGGAGAGTCCAGAGCAGCAAAGAACAATCAGAGACCTAGAAAGTGCCAATTTAGATGAAACATTTGTGAGGGATGAGAGCTGTGGTTGCTTCTGTCTTGAACAGGAGGGTGGTTGGGAAGATTCCCGTGGTCCTTCCCAGTGCTGTCTTGTATGTTGTGAAATAGCCTTTGTAGTTGCTCACATTTCTTGATGGTCATTAACCCCTTCAAGCTGGATGCACTTCTGTCTTTCACGTAAATATTCCCTGCTTTTAGCCTTCCTGGGTGCCCAGTAATAATTAATGGAGGTATGGCTTTTACTGCCATTGGCAGTAATCACTTAAATTATTTTGTTAACTCAAGCGATGAAATTATGTAGGAAACCCCATGGGGCCCCTGCGGAGGTATGGGGAGAATGAGGTTTCCTTCCTTTTTTTTAATCGATGTTCAGTATTCCAATAGCAGAAGCTACTTAGCATTTTCTAACACAATTAGAGAAATAAAAGCATTTTATATCCCAAATACCACTTCATTCTTGTAAGCCAAGTGAAATTACAGCACTTAGAAGTACAATTTCCGTCACTCCACCATCAAAATGTCAGTAGTCAAGTGGAGAAGGTTAGCATGTTTTCCCAGAAGCAGCTTGCTGTGACGCTATACTCTCTCCCACTCAATGATACTTTGTGCGGTCCGGCGAGCTCCGTGGACTATTTATTGTCCCAGTGGCTGGCAGTCCGTTTGCGTGTCGTGGAAGTGGGAGCTCAGCACACGGCACATAGTTATGTACCTTATTGCCCAGCTGGTCTTAAAAAAACCCCAAGATGACCTCATACTATTTTAATTGAGTGCCCATTGTAGCTACATAATTACTGTCTGCTCTGCAGCCGTTATGGTACGCTGACGAACGAGAAGTGATGCAGATGTCACTTCACACTTCTGCGTACAAACCAACCCAGCACGCAAGCAGCTGAAAGGCTGATTGTAGCACACTGGGAGTTGCTCGGCGTGACTGCAGCGACACGCCAGCATGGCGGCACGTGGAGTACAGCTGGATGTGCAGAGCGACTACCGTTTTACCTCTTCGCCACGCAGACGATAAAACCAATGCACTGGTTTTAAACATGTAGTAGACCGATGTGATCTTCTAAGTTGAATTCCTGCATAATGGAGCCCAAAGAGCTTTACCCAGTGATTCGCTCATCGCGCCCATCATTCCTGTTTGAGCTGTGGTTTGTGATCTGGAGGGCTGTCTGTCCTTGGCATCGTGGCTGGGAGAAGGGAGATGCTACAGTCCTATGGGAGCTGTCCCCAAAATCAACCCTTTTTCCTGCTAAGATGCGCACTTAACTGGAGTGGGAGCGTATTCAGCAAGCTGCTCTCTGTGTTACCTTCCAGTAATTAAAGAGCCATCTGCTACTGGAAGCGTCTGTCCCATGGGGGAGCAGCCTAGCAGTGTAATGCATCGGGCATTCTCACTTAGCCAAAGCGTTACTGTAAATACCGTGTTTGCTGCATTTCACAGTCTCCCCGGAAGATTTTCGAGCAAGTGTAACGCCCCCAGAGAGCTGCAGGCCCCATACACAGGGCCACATCTGCCAGGCTCCCACCGTAGGACAGTGATAATGGGGGGCAGTCAGTCATCCTTGGCCAGGTACTGATTCAGAGGAGGAGGGGAATCAGGCTGCATGTGGGAAATGTCTCCAACTCCAACTATATCCAGCCTTCAGTGTGGGAGTCACTGTCCCCAGGGCTCCCAAACTGGGTCCATGTCCAAGCACGCACGTTCAGTGCTGGAGCTGGCCAAGAGGCCGTGCAATAGATTGTGTGCGAGACAACAGCAGATTGCAAAATCCGTGTCAGAAGAAATGCCATGCACAGAGCTGCAGAAAACGTCTCAGAACAAACACGATTAGAGAACCACTACGCTTTTATTTTTAAATGTTATGCCCAGTTAAGCTCCCTTGGCTGTTTTGATTCCAATGATTTCTACTTCTCATTCTGTACTGAGAGGTTCCCCCCAGCACCAGAAGACTGTGGCCTCCAGCTCTTGAGGCAGCTGTGAGGTTCTCAAGCTGAAGATGGATCATGTTAGTAGCCTGCAAAGCTGTAATTGCATTAATGACACTACAGCAATTTTACCACTGATCTCTTTCCATTTAACAGTGTTTTAAATGATCCATGTACACGGTTCTCAGCCACCTAATACTCCACCCACACTTGAGAAGAAACCCAGCAGCATTAAGCAATCAATCAGTCAGGAACTCAGACAGCTACTACCTACCAGAAAGCTCTTCTCCATCCTTTCACTGAAAGAAAAGCTCCCCCTCCATCCTCTCCAGCAGCTGTGCTGCACAGGAGTACTTTACAGTATTGTGAAAAGCAATGGCAATCCACGTCAGGGTTTTCTTCAGCGCGCTCCTGTGCGGTACGCGCAGCCAGGCACGACGCTGGAGGCGGCCAACTTGCAGAAGAAGGGAATAGTGCTGGAGTTAAAGGGGTTAAAGGCATCTCCATGCTACAATAAATGGGGAAGAGAGGAGCTATCCCTCACAAGGTATTAGCCCAAAGCTTGCTTCCTTTAAATCGTATTTTCCAGCCTGACCTAAAGAAGTAGTCACAGATGCACAAGCATTTGCTAAGCATTCCACACTGCCATTAAAATCTCAGGTGTTTCTCTGACTCTTAATGCTCCTTAGATATTTCACCCACATGAACAATCTTGCACCAGCACTGGGTTTTCGAGTATAGCTGGGCCGACCTTTTTCTCCCCCTCCTCATGTTTTGGTAGTTTTCTGCTTTGAAAGGGCTATAGCCCCACACAGTGTTCGAGGTGCCACATTGCAGGGGCGCTGCTGAATGAGGTACGGTGCTGGAGAGAGCCAAACACTCAACTAACCTTGTGTTTGTGGTTTTCTTTCAGCGTGTCTGCAAATGCAACGTTTCCATGGTGAGTCACTTCAGCGCGAACTATCTTCATGGGTTTTTGTTGGCAGGCGTTTTCCGTTCACAAGGTGCGGTGTCACCAGCAGTGCCTGGTATTTCAGTACGCACTGCTGTGAGCTGGTGCAACACAGTGCCAACGGCCCGAGAATCGCCCTTCTGGATGTAGAGCTGCTCTCAGAGCATCCTCTTCCCTGCGGGACTTATGTCAACCTGCTCTCTAGAGCATCTCGCACAGCTTACTTGTAGTTACAAGTCGAAAGTTTTATCAAAATAATATCTGCATACTGTGTAATGCTAATTCAGGTTCAACCAGTTTTGTTTACTTGCTTGTCAGAAGAGACGGGAATGTGTGTCAATGCTCTTTCAGCTTATAGAATACTCACAAAACAAAGGCCACTGAAAAGTGACTAATTAGAGAAGCAGTAAGTATAGAACCGTTCCAGACTTTGGAGGCTGGGGAAGCCAGTGCAGGAGACACAGTGAACACAGCCTGAACAGCTGTCAGCATTTCAGTTTTGCCAAGCACAGTGGTGACTGAGAATGCATGGCCATTCTCTAAAAAATGGCTTTTATCTTGCTGTTAACCCTTTTTAAGGAATTGGACTAACTTTCCAGTTTCAAAGTCCTGCTTTAGAAACTCACACCCAAGAGCCAAAGTCCTCACTCAGCTCTTGGCAGGCACTGTTGGTCCCTTCACCAACTTGTGCTCTGAGGGGAGAGAAAAGCCCTTTCAGCCCAGGTTGGTTAGCCCTGGAGCGGGAAGCGCGGAGCGTGGCTGAGCTGTGTTCCTCCACGCGGAGACTAACTGGGACGTTCTGCTCTTTGGTTGGCTGCAGCTCTCCAGCGACGACGCGAGTCGCACTGAAGATCGTGACCCCCGTCATCATCACCGTCTTTGTCCTGGCGCTGTACCTGCATGCCCAGCAAGTGGAATCCACTGCAAGGCTTGATTTCCTCTGGAAACTCCAGGTCAGTGGGTGTTTACTGTGTTGGAGGAACACACATAGTCATTGCCTTAACATAAAACTACTGAGCTGTTCACTATCGCGTTGAGGTGTGTTACAAAGCGCCTTTGAAGTTCATCTGGATCTGGGCATATGGTAATGCTCTGCTCTTCTTTGGGACTTCGCACACTCGGTGCTTCTCATCCTGATTGCTTACTTTAACCCCGTGTCTCCCTGTACATGCAGTTTGGATGGTCCCCACAGTAAAGGGTTATAGATCTGAAGATCGAGGTTAATGAATTTGGGCAGCTGAGCCTGTCACTGCTGCAGGAATCTGTAATATAAGGCAATTTGTAAATACAAGAAGCTCATAGGCACTGCTGAATTGTTTCCCAGAGTTCAGCGTGCTTTAGTTGGCTGTGTTCAGGCGTGTGAAAGTTTCACATTTGCATTTTCATTCACTTCCTCGCTAGGCAGTGGGAACTGGCTTGACACCCAGCCTTCCTTAGCCCCTCGGCAGCAGTCCTGGCTAAGCAACGCGCGGCAGATCGTGCTGCGCTGTGCTCCTGCCCCTGGGTTCAGTGTTGGTGTTTTCAGTGCTTGTGCCCAGCACGATGCTGGGGCATCGTACGTGATTCTCAAGCCAGCAGGACAGGCCTCAGCGCTGCCCAGAACCCATAGCTGGGGAACTGCAGGCTTTATATCCATTTTTTTACCTTCTAGATGGCAGGACATTGTTCTAATAATCGGTCTCAGTGGTTTGAGTGGGAGGCACAGAGGAAGCACCAATTAATTAAAGCTCCTTGGGAAGCACATAAACATTGTTATCCTCATTTATAAATGGTAAAACAAAGGAAGGAATGAGCCGACTTGCCTGTTCCAGGTCTGGGCTCAGATGGCCAAAGCATTTGTTTCCCCAAGCAGAGCCAAGTGTTTTCCTTGTTCTCTCCAGACATATCACCTGTGAAAGGGTCCTTCCTTGTTTCACTTCATTTCCAGTCTCAACGTCCAGTTTCAGACACCAGCATCCACAAGCAAAGTCACAGGAAGTGCTCCGCAAGTATTGCTTGTGCCTTTACCAACACATGCTTCCGGGATGTGGGGAGGTTATCCCTTTGCCCCTCACACAGTGAAGGCTGGAGAGTAGGGCTGAGTGGTGGTTGTCCACCCCAAGGCCTACATGTGCCAGGAGAGTCCTTTTTTTGGCTGCAGCTCTGCAGTAATGACAAAAGTCACTGGCAAACAAGATTTGAAGAACAACCAGGTTTTGCCTGGTGCCTCTGCTGAAGCGGAGGGTGCTGTACACAGGACAGCTCTGTGCGACCCCGCTCAGCTGCCGCTTCCCTGCCCCACCCTGGTTTTTCCTTTGCTTAGATTCAAAATGGCAAAAAGCAAAACGATGGGGGGGGAAATACTGCTGTCGTCAGGTAAGGGGGGAGACAAGGGTGGCCAGCACACACACCTCTGTCCCTGTCTACAGCCCTGAAGCAATGAGTTGAGGTAATGCTGGTACCGCGCAGGTCTGCAAAGGTAAATCAAATCTGGTTCTGAAGTGTGATTTTATTTTAGTCACCCAGCCCTAGGTACATCCTTCCCGAAGGTCTGGTTCCATCTGAACAGTAAACCCAAATCCACACCCATTGGCACAGAAAGAAGATAACTCATCCTCCTGATGTTTCCTTTGCCTTGACATACCCCCTACCACAGGAGACATGGGCTGTACAGGCTGCTGAAAAGTGCTCCCCAGAGCGTCAGGCTGGCCTGCTTCCTGGGTTCCGTGGTAACTGGACTCCAGGACCGTTGCTGAACCTTGTGGGGAAGGAGGGTCCTTTTATTTAGCGGCGTGAGCATTTGCGGGGTGCAAGGAGAGGGTTGTAATTCATCGCCACTCCTGCAGTCAGACTTCAGCTTTGTTCTCCCAAAATCCATTGTGCTTGACTGGGAAAGCCACACGTGTTTTCATGGGTGGTAGGATGGTGGTGGAGTTCCCCAGAAGGAACAGACCTTGTACAGGCATTCCAGAACTATAACAACGTTGTGTTTTGGTGTTACCCTGTGCCTGCTTTTACATACTGCAAAGCACTAGTTTCTGCATCTCTCTGGTTCTGCCCTCCTTGGCCGTTTTCCCCTTTCTTCTGTTTCTGCCCTCCCTGCAACTTCATTTCCAGGTTTTCCTTCCCTCCCCAGAGGGGTTCACAGAAGAGTAAGCACATCACTGTCTCTCCCTCCTAAACTAGGCCACTGAAGAGAAGGAAGAAATGGAGGAGCTGCAGGCCTATAACAGACGCCTCCTCCACAACATTTTGCCCAAGGACGTGGCAGCCCATTTCCTGGCTCAGGAGCGGCGAAATGATGAACTGTACTACCAGTCCTGCGAGTGCGTGGCTGTCATGTTCGCCTCCATAAGCAACTTCTCCGAGTTTTACGTGGAGCTGGAGGCCAACAACGAAGGGGTGGAGTGTCTGAGGCTGCTGAATGAGATCATTGCCGATTTTGATGAAGTAAGTCACCGGAAATCTGGGTGGAGAGAGTGAAGGGAATCAATGAGTTGAGTTGGGCTTTGCTGAGCTGCTGAAGGAAGGTGGCTTAGTGAATCCTGGTGCCACGGTTCATTTCTCCTCGCTCTGCAAGTCTCTAATTCTCTTTTTTTCCACCATTAAAATCCCTTCTATTCCCTTGCTGCTCCTCCGAACATCTAAGCCCCTTTCTTCCTGTACTCGGAGTGGCGGAGGTGCTGTCCAGTACTTTTTGTAGTGCTTGTGCCAAGGCAAGTGGCAAGGACACTGCCAGCCCGTAGGGGGGGATGTGTGTGTGTGTCAAGGTTTATTCACTTCTTTTGCTCTTGTGAAACAGATAATAAGTGAAGACCAATTTCGGCAGCTGGAGAAGATCAAGACCATCGGCAGCACGTACATGGCTGCATCAGGCCTCAACGACTCCACCTACGACAAGGAAGGGAAGACGCACATCAAAGCGCTGGCCGATTTTGCCATGAGGTTAATGGACCAAATGAAATACATTAATGAACACTCATTCAACAACTTCCAGATGAAGATAGGTAATGTCCGGTGTTTGCAGGATGAAGTATAGGTGCTGGTTATCCTGAGCTGGGGATTTTATGAAGGGTAAAAGCCAGAGAATGCTCCCCTAGGCACACAGTGATGGCAGTTGTCTTGTTGACCTCTTGGGCCTCTCTGAAACAGCAGTTTTGTTAGGGTAGCAGCGTTATGACTGAAGCTCCCTGGAGAATTAGGAGCAGTTGGGCAACCAACCTTGGTGCAGAGAAGCTCTTACCTCAGCACGGGCTCACACGGTGGGTGAGCTCGGGCACGTTTTGCCTGTCATGGGCCCATTTTGCCTGTGATGTGCTCCCTGCCCACACTCCTTGTGGTCCCCGGCTCTGCCATTCTTGGACATTAAATTGTCTTTCAAGTCAGGGAATAAAAAGAGACAGAAAAGGAGAAGAAGAAATGCTGAGCATGTCAAGTGTGGGGTTTGTTCTGGAAGGCTGCCGGGCTGCTGCCTCGCAGGCACTGGGCATTCCAGCAGCTGCGTGCTGACTTCTAAGTGAGCACTTTGCTTGGCAGCCGGGTGGCAAATAAACCTTATCCTGTTATCTGGAAAGTAGCTCTGGATTGAGCAGATCCAGCCCATGCTGCCAGTCAGACAGGCATAATGGATCAAAGGAGCCAACTTCTTTTTAAAAGTTTCTTTTGATGCAGTTTGGCCACAGCTTTACATGTCAGGGTGCAGCACAGCTCCAACCAGTGACCCTCAGGATGTTTTGTATTGCCTGACAAGTAACTTGCCTCCAGCTTCAGGTGGTTCACACGTGTGATGGATGTGAGTGTTGTGGTATTTCTCCTCTTCCTCCAGGCCTCAACATCGGTCCTGTCGTAGCTGGGGTGATAGGAGCCCGCAAACCCCAGTACGACATATGGGGCAACACGGTGAACGTAGCCAGCCGAATGGACAGCACGGGGGTGCCTGACAGGATCCAGGTAAGGAATGCGCTGGAAAACTTGCAGTGCCAGCCCTGGGTCACTTACAGGTTTTGAAACTCAACTGGAATTTTGGTTTCATTTTATTCCTTTATGCCATACACTTACTTGCACGGTACCGAAAGAAAATCCAGCTGGGGAATGCTAGTGGTACCATCAAGTTTTGCCTTTTAATCTTGACCAACTTGGCGACCTTTGCTCAAAAAGCTTAGTTCTGGGCGGAAGCGTTAAGCTGCGTTCCCTCCCCCAAGCACCCCACTGGCACTAGGAGCACAGTCCTACTGTGATGCTTTGCTGTTCGGCTATGCACAACGCTAGGCTGGCTTATTTTCCAAGGATTCAGATGCACATTTCTGTAAATCCCATTCCCGTTCACAGTGCCAAAAGTCTTGTGAGACCAGCAAGGCTCCAAGCATCAGCGGGATGGGGATATATAAGCAGAGAAAGAGGACGGTTCAGTGGAAACTCTTGTAATCAAACGCCTCCTTGGCCCTTAGTGACCTTTCCAGCGATTCGGTTCCACCTTTCGCTGAGCCGATGTCCACAGGAAGGGATTGTCATTCCTTGGGAAGGTACCAAAGGGACAGAGAAATAGCCTAACTGATGTAAAACCCGAGAGAGGAAGCCATGCTGTTTCTTTCCAATTAAGCTGTCAGTTAACTGGATCAGTATTTATCCAGCACCTGTTAAACTTTCCTACGGGATGGTCCACGAGCAGATCTCATTCTAGTTACGCAAATGGGCACAGCACCATTACAGCAGCAGGCTGCCAGGAATGGAAATATTTAAAGCCACCTGAAAAAGGGTAAGAAAATACCTGTAGTAAATAAATATCTCAGGAAATGTGGTCTTTAAACGTCTGTTATTTGGCAGCTCAAGTGATTATTTTTGAACAGCACCTGCAGAGAGAATTTGGACGCTGGCTGCATTATACTGTTCGGTCGGTCGCTCTCGCTGCCCACTACCTTCTCATTCCTAAAGACAAACCCCTGGATGACACCTCCTAAGCTGTACAGCCACTGTCTAATTTCTAAGTCATTTTAAGGGCTTTTAAAATATGTTTAACTTGTTTTCCTGCTACCACTCCAGCGATACAACCAATGCACCTGAGCAGGCTGAACTGCCAGGCGCACTTTTTAAAACGCACGTTTCCTTTTATCCTGTGACCTCACTGAAAAAAACGTGGTCACAGGATTCCCCCAGGTCACAGCGTTCCCCCCAGCTGCGCACTGTGTGTGGCTGCTGTAGTTTCTCAAGGTTGTGTCTGTTCTGCAACTTGTGCCAAGCTTTTCGTCAGCATTCACTGTGCAAAAGGTGACTGACCTATGAACAAATCAGTTAACGCTACTTTAATTTTGTCCGTGGATTTCTCTGAAGGAAATGACTGTGTGGAAGGCACAGCAAGCACCCGCTGACTCTTGTTTGTTCTGCAGGTAACCACAGACATGTACCAGGTTTTAGCAGCCAACAACTACCAGCTGGAATATCGAGGGATCATTAAGGTGAAAGGCAAAGGAGAAATGACCACCTACTTTCTAAACGAAGGGCCTCCGATTAGTTAGCACCGATTGCAGCGAAGACGGCGAATCGGAGACGAATCACTTTTGGCGGTGAAGCCGAAAAGGCCGCGCAGTTGAAATTCCCTGGCGTGACTCTGGAGCCGGTATCGGCAAACTCTTTGGCCACCCATCAGTAAAGGCGAGTGAAGGAAACCACCTGGGAGCTGTTCCTGGCCGAGTGCTAAGTCGACCAAAGACGTGAACTGCAGAGCTGACAGTAAGACATGCAGTTGGCATTTTTAAAAAAGGCTGCTACCACGGGACGATATAAGAAGCTATTTAAGTATTTATTGATGCAACACAACATTTACTTGGTTGGAGGAATGTATGATTCACTACAAAGCATTATTTTGGAATGGATTTGCACTCCCATAACGTTTCCATCCCATACTGCCAGCTATTTGAAGTGTACCACTGTGCTTTTATTAGCTGTTTTGAATGGGCTTTCAAACTCGACACCCACTGTTGCAGCACACAAAAAGGCCTTTTAGAAGGGCATCGGTAACGTAGCGAGAAGAGACGTTACAGCCCCGGCCCCCTCCTTTCCCTTCTACCCCACGGTGAAATGACTGCTCCTCTGAGTGGGGCACAGCGCAGAAGGGAGCTCCAGCTACGGGAAGAGGGCTCTACAACCCTATTTATTGAAAAAAAGTCTTCTGTGCTCCTCTTTGGTATCCGTCAGTTTACAGGGGAAAGACTAGATGTAAACAAGAGACACTTCGTGGGGGGAACTCCCCTGCAATTTGTTGTGGGTTTTTTTGTATTTTTTATTTTGTAATATTGAAAACGCGGAGATCTAACAGATATACCAAATTCTATATTTTGTAAATTATATATAAATTAGGAGGCAGGCTGGCCACGCCAAGGTGTGGTGGGAGGTGTACATAACCTGTAGACTTTTGTGTAATTTTTTTGTGCGTAATACTCTGAACACAGACTTGGCAGTTTTCACATTATCACTATACGGTCAACCAACAACCAACAGGTGAGTTTCCAGGCTGAATCAGATGCATTTTAAAAGGAAAATCCAGAAAAAAACCCAAAGAAGAGGAAAAACCCAAAAACCGCGGTAGTCGGGCGGTTGTTCCGTGCAGCATCCCCGCGGAGGGTGGCGTCTTAACAAATGCCAACAGGATCCTTGAGTTTTAGCTACCGAGACAGGATCAAACGTGTCAGGAAGAGCTCTAACACACCTTCTCACTCGCGCTAACAGGAGCTCTTAGAAGAAGAGGAAAAAAATAAGCTCATTTGAACTTTTCTTTTTAAAAAGTCATTTTTTCATAGATGGTCTTAACAGAATCCCGCTGATACAAGAGTTGTCTGGTATTGTAACTGCCATCTGCTGTTACACGGAACTATGTACTGCAGCATCGAGCTGACTTTCCTGTAAGTAGGCACTTATTTAAACCGAGTCACAGGTTTTCAGTTTTCGGGAATTAGGTGATCTTCGAAAAAAGGTGATGATGGCAAGTGTGTGCATGAGGTGGTCAACCTTAAAATACAGTGCCATTGGTCTTGTGTTGGACATCTTTATCGCTAGTGGGGGGTTTACGAGTAGTTCACTGTTACCATTTATGTACCTTTTTTAACTATTAAAGAAAAATCCCTTCATATTTTATTAAAAAAAAGAAAATAATTTTAAAAAAAGCTATATTTTTTATATTCTACGAGGGGAGAGTTTTGATATTGAATTTGGCTAGCACTAAAAACTACTCCAATCTTTTGACGTTTAATAAAGTTCTTTTCCACTCTTCTCAGGGCAGAATTATTGTAGTACTAACAGCTTAATGATTGCACTATGGTGGTGGTGATTTATTTTTTCCTACTCGATGATGAGAATAAGTGAAAATCCATGGGCCTGTCTTAATTAATTTGCTCTACCGCTAAGCATAACCCGAGCATTAAGCCATTTAAACGTGAGCTTAAATGGCATTGCCCCTTCCCTCCTCCCTTCCACTAGGAAACATCTCTGAAAAGTATAGTATATTGACTTCTGTAAAACTGCCAAGTCTGCCCTTGTACTATACTTTTGCTCCTTTTCATCCTTCCTGGTTTGCAAAATCCTTAAGTTGCATCACGCTGTTACGCCCTTCTCCTCCTCCGCCTCCCCCCCCTTCACCCCCTCGCCGAGGTTCGTTACCTTCACGCCATTCACTCGGTTTCAGGTTTGCTTTCTGCTTGACGGGAGTCTGCAGGCGTCTTGACTTTTGATTCACCGTATGAAGTTGTGTTGTCGATGAAATTTCAAGTCCCCAGTATCTCTAGCTGTGATTGTTGACAGTGTGTCATGATCATTTCAAGGGGTATTCACACACTCTTTACTCTGGATCTTGCAAAAATGGATGCAGTTATGATTTCCCATGGAAATTGAAATCTATTTAAGTAATTTAACTATATTAAACACTGTTTCACTGGTGAAGCGTCTCTGGTTTATTTTAGCTGCGTCTGCGAAGAGAGCAGACACAAGCTGCCGAGGAGACCCCGAAGCTGCGAACAGAGGCGTCCCGTTCTTGACTCGCCCCGAGGGGTGGCCGTCGGGACCACACCGGTACTGGGGAACCCCAGGTACAGAGCCCCGACGGCTTGGCTGCAGGGTGAACACCCCCCGCAGCCCTCGTGCACACCCACTTGCTCCTGCGTTAGTCGCGGGGAGCTGACAAAGCCCCCCTGGGGCCCGGTGGGTAAATACAGTGCTGGCTGCGTCGGAGCGGCACGCGTTCCCTCGAAGAAAAGCGCGTATTCTAAAAAGCACGGCACCTTCGCCGAAGCACTCCCCAGGGTACTCGGACACCTGGAAGGAGGCAGCAGCGCTTGCCAACGCAGCGTACTGACCCGTTCCGGGTGAATGCAGGTGCTGCACGGAACTGCGCCCGTGGACGGAACCCTCGAGTGTAGCTGAGAAACAAAAGGCTGCAGCTTTCAGCTGACCTCTTCAGTTGGGGCATTCCAGAGGCACCAACCCAAGGGACGTACACGCGGTTATTGCTGGGAGGGATTTGTCAGAGTGCTGAGAACACGGCCGCATGACCAAAAGCCGGGCAGTGCTTGCAGAAAGATGGTGGAGAGTCATCAAACACCTCCCGTGCTCCACATAAGCACAGGCACAGCACCTTAGGGCGTCATCTGACGGAAGCATTTTTGAAACGCGCTGGACAAGAGCGTTCCCGGCAGAGGGAAGGCAGCAGCCCCCTGCGCTGCGCCCTCTCCTTTAAACTGCTGTACACACCCACTGGCTGAACTGCTTCCCTAAACGCATCTCCTGCCCATCCAGAAAGCGTTTGGATGGATTTGAAGTGTTCAGCCACCCCTCGCCCGCACACGGCCAGCTGCATCAACTATCTGTGTGCACCTAACGAAACGATACACTTGGGACACACCGAATTTCTGACGCCTGTGTCCTGCACCGCCAGTCCCCCCGCCTTCCCCTCCGTGTGCGCCCCCCCCCCCCGACGCCAACATTGTCCAAACCCTATGCCCAGAGGGCACTATCTCCATGCTGTTAACTTTCCCAACCACTCTCTGGGCACCTCCACTTCTAGTTACAAGTCTGGGGGCTGGCCGGGAGCGGCAGCTGGAGGTGCAGCCTGGGAAGGGGCAGTTTCAGCTCTCTTCAGCTAAAACACTCACAGCCCAAAACCGGCAGCCGGGCAGCTCACCCTAAAGCGCAGGGTCGTATCTTTTCATTCCCGGCCCGGCCCGCTCTGCCCAGGCACTGCGCCTGCGGCGAGGCCGTGCCATGGGGCCAGCCC